GCAGGAACACACAGATCAGATCTTAGCAAAGGCTAGCTTGAAACTTCTCCTGCCACCAGAGTCCATTGTTTCTTTGCTTTCAGCTGAAAAGAACTTTTAACGTGGGGAGGATCACACTTAGGAAAATGATTTTCAAAATGTAACTGGACTAAAAAAGAAGAGCCAAAAAAACCCGCAATTTATTTCTTCTTGGCCATCTCGCTTTTTTTTTTTTTCCCTAAGAAGACTGAAGAAAATAGCTGTTGGACCTGGGTATCTGGATCCTGCCCTAAAACCTGGTCAGCCATGCTGCTGAAAACCTGTTATCAGGAGAGCCAACAGAATTGCCAGGTCTGTGTGCAAGGTATATGTGTGTGGGGACGAGGGGGACAGGTGGGGAGGTGGCTCCACACTCCTGGAATGGATTAGGCAGAGGGCACCAGCTCGGAGTGCTGCCTGGACCGCACCATAGCCCCCCAGCCAGTCCTTAGTGCTGCTGGAGGCTCTGGAGGTCTGTGGCTGTAACAGACCTGTCTGTGGTAAGAATTTTCCTTTGGACCATGTCTAGTTTAAGTTGCATACTAGCAGGGGTGGCAGGTTTGCATCATTTTTGGTGGTATCCACGATGGGCCCAAGTCCTATTCCACCTCCTCACTCCTGCCTAAGGCTCTGGGAGGAATTGTGGATGCAGGAGGGCATTTGAGGTGCAGGCTTTGGGCTGGGATGATGGTTGGTGTGTGTCAGAGCATTGGGCTGGGAAAGGGATGAGGAATTTGGACGTCAGCGGGAAGGCTGCCCAGAGCTGCAGGGGGGGGGGGGGGGGGAGCAGGGGAAGCCTGGGAGGTCCAGCCGTTTCCAGATAAGCTCCCTCCCCCCCCCCCCCACACTTGGAATTGCCTGCTGAGGGGGGTTGCCATGAGCCACCTCCTTCCCTTCTCCCTCCACAGGTGCATGCTCCCTTGTAGCCAGCTGCAGCAGTGCTTGGTGAGGGAGCACAGCACAGAGCTGCAGGGGACAGCTGCCCCCTGCCTGGGGTGGGAAGGGCCAGAAAACACTCCAGTGGAAGCAAGCAGGGGTCGGGGAGAGACCTGGCCCTCAACTTTGGCAGTGTTGACAGATGTCTTTAGTTCCCAGTACTATTAAACTGGTGATTTTGTAACCTTCAGCAACACACGAATGATGTATTTTAAAGCGAATTTAGTATGACAGTTAATTCCGGAACTGACAGTATATACCTGGGGTTGGCAAATGTCTGTGAAATGGCTTCATTACCACGGCTCTGTCATAGGCTCAAAGGTCTGAGAATAGGTCTGGCAGGCTTTTTCACTTTTAAATTAACTGGGTCCTTTCTGGAGGAAGGAGAGCAAGGGAACAGGGATAGGAAGAGGAAAGTTAGTGAATGTTAAGACCCAGTGATCTTAACTGGTTTCACATTTTTGGGTGTCCTACGCAACTGCATAGTCTACTTATTGGTAAGGACAGCTCTGGGTGCTGGACCCTTGGGGCTAAGGATATTTCTGCAACCCAGGCATCATAGGCCCATGATGCACTTGAATCCTAGGAAATGTTTTGTTTGTCTTGACGCTATGTTTGATTTATCTTGTACTCGCTTAAAATCTTTGTAGTTACATAAACTAGTTTTGTTAATCAAAATTCATCCATTATTGGGAACTGTGTGGATGACTGCATTTAAGATGTGTTATTGTGATGCCCTCAGATGGGCTATGGATATATATCTGGACGGTGCAAAACAGACATTTATGTGGGGAAATCTGAGACAGGGAGTGTGTTAGAGTCACCGTGCATGTAAGAATCAAAGGTGCTGGAAACCAGAGCATGATTGGTCTTTGCTAACAGGCTACTGGGGTCAGACTTGCTGGACCAGGGCTGTGGCAATACACAGATGCTCAGGGTGTGACCTGCAAGTAGTCTGGCTGTTTGTGAGCGGTCTAGCTTGGGAGCCACAGCAGCAAGGTATTGTGAGGCACCCCACGTTGCACGTGGAGTTGACATGGCCGCTTACCTGTCTGGATTGCACCTCACAATGCCACAGATACCAGTTTCTGGGAAGCCATCTCACACGGCATTGTTGAACTTACCTTATGCAGGAGGTTTGCTCCCAAAATGTCTTCCTTCTATTGGCAGAATGCCTAAAACTCTTGAACCATCACTAAAATGCAGCCCTTCAGTTTGTTCTAGATCTTCAATTTTCCTTGTTTTGAACACTAGCATTCCACATACTGGTCCCAGAAGGTACTTCGCTTACTACTTTGCTCTGGCACAAGTTACAGGCTGGATTTTTGACACATTACCTATGGGCTCGTCTACACTGGCCCCTTTTCCGAAAGGGGCATGCTAATTTCACAGGTCGTAATAGGGAAATCCGCGGGGGATTTAAATATCCCCCGCGGCATTTAAATAAAAATGTCCGCCGCTTTTTTCCGGCTTTTAGAAAAGCCGGAAAAGAACGTCTACACTGGCCCCGATCCTCCGGAAAAAGGCCCTTTTCCGGAGGATCTCTTATTCCTACTT